AAAAACATCTTGTTGGGAAAACAAAATTAATGTTTTTCATTTATCATACAATAGATATTACAAAACCACATACAATATGTGATCGAAAACTCTGCAAATAAATCTTCTTTACATAAACTAGTTAAACAACACTTTACATTATTTTTATAGACTTATATTATGTATGACTGTAAAACAATTTCAAATTTTAATTAAACTGTTATCGAATTTTATCCGTTCTAAAGAGAGACGGCGCTATACTGAATATATATCGCTATTCTGTTTAAGATTCAATGGACATTGACAAAGATGAAATCTCTTTTAACTAAATTCTAAAGTTGCATAGCGCACATTAACTCTTATCCCATGAAAATAATGTACATGTTTTCAATTCACATTGAAAATACATGCACATTTGATTGGAGATAGACGTTAATGTATTATTTAATTATTTTTAAATTCACATCAACTTGCTTTAGTGTTCCTTGACCCTTAGACAAGGGTTGGCTTGCATTGTATTTTATAGTCTTTAAAATGCAGACCCGATTTTTGTCATTTAATAAAAAAATTAAATAACATAATTTGTCAGATTATAAAAAATATTACAGAAAAACATTCATTCAAACCCCTTTGGTCTAAAATTAAGGATTATTTCAGGTTTGTCCAAAGGAACAACCCTTATGCTTATAATAAATTTATCATGTACTTGCTTCACAACAAATTGATTTTGTTTGAAATGTCAACAACAGTATTATTAGTGTTGTTCTTTTTTGAAAAATATTTTTTTTTACTTAAAAAAGTGTTTTTACTGTTTAACACTAGTAATAAGTTTATTCATTAAGAAAACAGTCATCTATTTCATTCAAACAAGAGAAAAATATCTTTACATATATTTATATCATTCTAAAACATCTTTTTTACATAATAAGATACTACAAAAATTTGTTGTGAAGCATTTAGGAATGAGCACAAAATTCTAGATCAAATCTATACTGTCTGCTTTTGTCATATGTATATGAACATATTTATGGTGTATTGTGAATTAAGAAGACCGGTGATCAGCCCTTAGATCATAGAATGTTTGTTTACTGCAAAATGATTAAGTTATTACTTACAAATACACATGATCTGTGTCACCAATTGCAATATGTTAACTTCAAAGGGACAGCTTACACCATGGTCATATGTCATGCGGTTTTCCCATATTTTTTTCTATCTTTATTTTAAAAATCCAACTAATTTTAATGAAATCTATCATCCAAGGGTTGCCATCTATCTTGCCTGTGTCATCTGACTAATGTTTCAGCGCACCCATCAATAAGATAGGGGCAAAGTAAGTCTAATACTATTTTTATTATAAATTTGCTTCGTAAAGACCTCGGCGGAAAATTGATATGATGAAATCCTCGGAAATATGACGTAAAGGTATTTGTCATTTTTATTATAGCTCATTTAGTGGAATTTTTTAATGGAAAATGAATTAATCATTAGTGACTATCTCTTTACACGCCTAATACAGTGCTTGGTCAGCCTTTTTTATTTAAGAAAATGGCAACCCTATCCAATATAGTAGCGGAAGAACATAAACAGTAAAATGTTGATTTTCGAGTAATGCAGTAGCGTAACAAGATTATCATAGAAAGCAAAATAATCCCAGAGGAACTTGAGTATGTTAAGATTATGCTAATGTAGGTAAGCAAAAATATTACTCACTGATTTATTGAAAAAAAATTACTATCTTGGTTGAATGAGAATAAATATCCTATAAATTTGGTCAATACATAATTCTCAGAAATGTAGTTGTGCCACTGCCTTACCAAAAAACGTAAACATCCGACATAGATAGTATCATAAGCTAGCTAAATCTGACAAATGTTATTATCAATACAAATGTTTATATCAATATAGATTTTTTAAGGTCATGTTCTAATTGTACAGCTTTATTGACAAAGCTTTTATCTTTTTTCTTTACATTTACAACCTAAAATGTCACTCGTTTATGAGAGGAAGGAGGGTAATATGTTAGTATATTTAAAGACTACTAACAGCAATTCCACTAAGTAACAACTCTTGCACATATTCATTACCCTGGAACTGATAAAGCATTTGAGACAAAGTATATTGGGAAGTCATCTGTTGCCTTAACGAGAGTTCACATGGTTTTATTTTTTCTAAAAATTTCATCAGTGCAATTGTGTGTAAACATGTGTATAAATTCTCTGCTGTTGTTAATAAAGAAAATTCAATTTATTACTTTTTTATTGATTTAGTTTATAATAACCCTACAGTTTATAATAACGTAACATTTACAGAATGTCACCTTTAGAATCATTATTTGCACTCTATAAATCCTCATAACATATTACCGATGGCTTAACCTGCAAACCGGCTAACTCCATTTTTGACCTAAAATCATGTTTTGATGTCGTCGAATACGCGGAGTTGCCACTTACGGTATGCAAAATGAAACAACTCCCTAGCTTTCAAAATTAGCGAATAAATTACGTGCACGTATATTGGGCAACTCCCAACATTGACAGAGCAACACGTCAAAAGTGGCTAACTCCGGTGCTAGCCGCCATTTTGTACTGAGCAGCGTGCAAGAAAAAACAGGTTTACGCGGCCTAAGTTTATATTTTTGTCAATGAGCGTAAATAACAGACATTTTAACCTGAAAATATTACATGGAATTGCTGGTAAGTGTCTTTATTTAAAATAATGTATAATTGTTGTGAATACTTAAAAAGAAAGCCATAGATAACCTACAAAAGTGCGATGATGGAGTTGGCCATTTTTTATTGTGACAATTTGTTCTTGATTTGGGAGTTACCAGTTTTGAGTTTTTGGGTAAATTAATGTTAAAAAATTTAATATTTAATGAGATTATTGTTACTAATATTGCAGACAAAGAAAATGTCGAGGGCGAAAAAAATGGTCGAAGCTGCTTGCAACCGCAGTCGTCAAAATGACATAATCTTTTTCACAAAGGAATCAATTGAAAATATGCCTGTTATACTGGCTGCTGAATCGTCAACATCTGAAGCTGTCCCAGAAGTAATTATGCAAATTGGCCCATTACCTGATGATGCGGTAACATCAGATGCTGTTACAGAAGCGATCATGGAAATTCCTCCACTAGCTGATGAAGCGGCAATATCTGATGCTGTTACAGAAGTGATCATGGAAATTCCTCCACTAGCTGATGGGTCTTTAACGTCATGCTCTCATGCTCTTACAGAGGAAATCACGGAAATGGAACCAATAGCCGATGGCTCATCTTTGAATTCCGGTCTGTTAACAGTGGCTACTGAAGCATCCATGGAATCATCCGTACCAGCTACATATTCACAGATTACACCACGTCATGATAACAATGCTGCCTTGATTGATAACTATATAAGTGATGATAGTGACTACAATAATGAACAACTTGTACCCTATTCTGATCACTCGGATTCTAACAGTGAAGAACAACCAAGGGGAGTTAGGAGAAGAAAAAGGTGTCAGGTTAACAAAGCTACATGGAATGAATACAAAAACAAACTTAATCGGGAAAAGGGGAGGCAGTATACTGGGCGAAAAAAAGTTGACGGGAAATGGGAAAAAACACTAAAGAATAAGCGAGTGCTTAAACCTCGATGCAAATGTAAGACAAATGACAAAACTGCCTTAAAATGCTGTGAAATTAAAGAAGATGATAGAAAAACAATATATGAAAAGTTTTGGGGGATGACTTGGGGAGAAAAGAAGGTTTACGTAAATGGTCTTGTACAAGAGATGCCTACAAAACGCGCAAGAGATAGAAAAGACCCATCTATTACAAAGAGAAAAAGCTCAATGATTTATAACTTGCATTTGAATGACGGACGTCGTGTAAGGGTTTGCAAAACGATGTTTCAAAACACTTTGTGTATCACCAAAATGACCATCTGGAACTGGAAAAAAGGTAAAGAAAATACCTCAAACAATAAAAACCAAATGTATCTGCCAGAAAAAATCCCCACGAAGCAGAGGTAGAATCACTTAAAGAGTTTTTGAACAACATACCAAAAATGGAATCTCACTATTGCCGCAAATCTACATCAAAGCTTTATTTGCTACCAGAATGGACATCAAAAAGAGCTCTATATGAATTCTACAAAAAAGACTGGTGTGCGTCGCGAAATAATAAACCTCTCTCTATAGCAAAATTCAGTAACACTCTAGAAATTGAAAACATATCACTATATAAGCCAAAAAAAGATGAGTGCGAAAAATGTCTATCCCATAAACTCGGAAATATACCTGATACAGAACATAAAGAGCACATTGAAAGAAAAATGAAGCCCGTATCGAAAAAGAAAACGATAAAAATTCAGAAGAATTCGTATTTACGATGGATACACAAGCTGTGTTATTAGCACCTAAATCTAATGTTTCATCTCTATATTATAAAACCAAGCTATGCACACACAATTTCTGTTTATTCAATTTGAGAAATAAAGATGGATTTTGCTATCTATGGAACGAGACTGAAGGTGCCCTATCGTCTGACAACTATGCTACTATAATAGTCAAGTTTATTACAAATAATCTTCTGCCGGGCATTCACAGAGAACCTGAAGAGGATATTAAAATTATATTGTACAGCGATGGATGTACAGCACAAAATAGGAACGTGGTATTGGCAAATGCTTTACTCAATGTGGCAACATTAAACAATATTATAATTGAGCAAAAGTATTTGGAGGTTGGCCACACCCAGATGGAGGCTGACTCTATGCATGCCACCATAGAGAGGAAGCTGAAAAATAAAGTTATTCATGTACCAGCTGAATATGTAGGAATTTGTCTTGGAGCACGCATACACCCTAAGCCCTACAATGTGTCTTATTTAACGCACGATTTTTTTAAGTCCTTTGGAAGTCTACAATATTATAAATCTATAAGACCAGGAAAAGCGACAGGAGACACTAAGGTACTCTTGATTTTATTTATATTTGACCTTATTATTTTATTCAATTTTGTTACTCTTTTTCTTCAGGTTTCAGTAGGAATGTAAAAAACACATTTACTGTGTAATTGATTGATTAGGTAAATTGTTTGTGTTCAGGTCACAGACATTCGTGCGCTGCAATATAAAAAAGGGAACATATACTTTAAACTAAGATTTAAAGATGAGTGGCAGTTACTACCACAACGATGCGATAGAAATATCGCACCCACGGCAATTGAAAGCTTACCGAACCTTTATAAAAATCGGCTACAAATTAAAAATCGCAAGTTCAAAGACCTCCAGGAATTAAAATCTACCCTACCGGTGGACTACAGGGACTTCTACAACAACATACCACATGAATGAAGACTTTTAACATTATAAGACATAATAAAACATATTTTGTGACAAAAATATAGTTTTCTTTTCTCTTATTATGCAAAACTAATCTAAAAAATCTATATAAATCTAAATATAGGAGTTACAGAAAAGTGGACAACTCCCATATTTTTATAATTTTTTAATTTTCAAATAGGCCATCTCCAAAAATCTATTTTAAAGGTATGTGATCAATATATTTTTTCATAATGTTCAGTTAATTCCGTATGCATAATAAAAAAGCACCACATAGTATTTTGGAATATGGATATTGTAAATATTGAATTTTTTATTAAGTTTTTTTGCCTTCCTCTAAAATTGCTTAAAACGGAGTTGGCCAATTTGCAGATTAAGCCATCGTTACGCTCCAAGAGGGCATTAGGAAAAAAAATTTCACCTTACAGGTCATCAAACAACAATATCATTTGTCACTATCACTATAACCAATCACTTGAGTAAACACACAATCACCAAAACCGTTGGGGTCTCGGTCCTGGGAATCTAGCAGGGGGACGGGGGGCGTGTCTTGGCCAGAATTGCGGACCGAAGCCCTGCGGTCTGAAAGGAGTCCTCGGTGACCAATTTCTTGGGAATCGTTGGCCCGGAAACCTTTGAGGGCCTCTCCAATCACCGTCCGAATATTCCTGGAACGGCGGTGATGGATTTCTCACTTCCTTATCCATCCCTCTACTTCTCAAGTCTTCTTCATAAGCACTGTCATTAGAGTTCTCCTCCTCGAACTCTCTCTCGTTCTGCCTCGGGAAATTTGGTAAAGCAGGATTTAAAGCCTTCAATGCCGTCGGCATATTGTCGAACGGATTCGTCATGGGTGGTAACACTGGGGCAGTGTGAGGTTGCTTCTCGTATTCTGTGCTGTTGATTCTTATTAAATTATGGTTAGTTTTCCCGTTGTCGCCGCCCACTAATACTTTGTTGTTATTAAAGCTATGACGTCTAGGGTGTTCAGATTGTTGCGAATATCCCTCTGTAAAAAACGATATTTATAATGCGTCAAACACATGTTTATATTATATATATTTATAATGCGTAAAACTTAGATTTTATAGATTATAAAACTTAAGTTTTATAAAGACATTTGTTATTTATAATAAATTATTACCTATATTTTACTTAAAACTTCAAAAGTGAAAGAGAAAAATTACTATATCAAATTTAATAGTTTTCTAACCAACAGAAAGCTATATGAACTATAGTTTCCAAATTACACAAAAATATATGGACAAACATTTAAAAAAGACAAGATTTTGGGATAAAATCATATTTTGGAGCTTAGGTAAATATTAAAAAACGCAACGATGCAGCAGTATTTCGTACTGTTTAACCGACGTTGAGCGATCAATTGATTTCATTAATTATTAAAATTTCTCTTTTGTCAGAACATGGCCTTTTTACTCAGGACTCTGGCAACCCTAATTGGCACTGAATTTACTCATATATATATTAATATATAATGCTTTCATGATACTGATTTGGCTAATATTGTATTATGAAAGAGTATTATTTATTCAAACTCACGTTCTTCGTCATCAGATAAATCCATATCGACACTCTCCACAATGTCACTCGGTGGAATCATCGGAGGCACTCTGTAATCCTGAAATCACATATTAAAAAGATTTTGTTAATTCACATGTTCATTTAAAATGCATTAACACCAACATTATTGCTTTATGAATCTTATGTCAGTAAAACCAAATCCACATTCAAATGCATGTGGATGGAAAGCTAAAGATATAGATGTATATTTTTTTTAGTTTGTTTCAGAAAACTCACTTGATCCAAATTAATCGCGTTTCCTGGTCTCGGGCCCATGATTGGCATCCTTGGCTGTGGTTGGTGAGTCAATGATATTAAGTTCCTATGGTCCACGTCTGCGAAAAAGTTGTAAGTTCGTTATGACTACATGTTTTCTAAATATATCTATACTAATATTATATAATATATACTAATATATAAAGAGGTAAAGTGTGTAACTTTGTTTGTTTTGTAATCTGCGAAAACACTGATCCTATCATGAAAATTATTTCACCTGCGAGAAGCTATTTTTCATAGGCATAGGACAGGTTATAATGCACGAGGGCGAAGTCGCCGGAAACCACAGCTACCATTTAATATTTTTAAACGTGTTTAAATATTTTTTACACTGTGTAAATACAATTAAATATTTGTATTGGTACAATTTTAATTTCAAATCATTGCTTTCACAAACTGTAGTACGCGAGTATGTGTGTACGTTTCCGCAGAGTCCTTAGTACGACTACCAGCGGATGCGTGCCAGCGGAATTAGAACTCAATGATAACAACAAATCAAATGTCACTGTACACTGTCACATCTGAAGTTTATTTATTTGTTCCTTGGTCAGACGATTAGGAAAAACTGCCTTAGATAATAAATAAAATCTCTTAATAGAAAATATAAATATTGCACACATTGAAAAATTTTCACTAAAATAAAATTGTTTTACCATTAACTTAAAACTTATATTACATAAAATGTCTTCATAATTCTTTACAGATATTTTCAATGATTACCTATTTTCTGCTCCCGTTCGTCGGCTACGACAAAAAAATCAAAATGACATCCATTATAACTAGTAAAGTGAAAGTTTTCGTTTAAATAGAAAACGTAAGCAAAATAGTGAAAACATACAAATTTATTAAAAAGACAGAAGGATGCTATGATTTATCACAAATTTCGGTAAAACATATCAGAATTTAGTTAATGTGTAAATTATATTGTTAATATGAAAGCATACCTTGTGGCGTTTGATGCCTAGTTACTGGAGGTGGTACTGGTACGGGTGGCAAACTGGGTAATAATCTGTGGTCCACATCCTCCATATCTGCGAATATTTAATCTTTGAAATGGCTTTACATTTACACCTTTACCCATCCTTTGTATAGACAAAGCAGCATATTTTCTATCGGACTATACCTTTTGTAACTAAAAAAGTAACAATATACCAATGAAATGAAGTTCATTTATAAATTACCTAAAACAGTGTCTCCTCTTTTTTAACTTAAAAAGAAAAAGAAATTCATCAACTCTCTAAGACGACATGCATATACAGTTTTGTGTACATTATTTACAATTTTCCCAAACACCTGTGTGTTGTCTAATTAATTTATGATATCCATAACACCCACTACTCCGGGAACACAATTTACAAAAGTTCAGCACAGAAAGCTTATCTAAAATCTCTCTTAAAACTAAAATAAAACGATTCGTACATTAAGGAACATTAACAGGAAACCTAAAACAAAATTTCAATAGGTTTTGATCGACATACAACGTAATTAATAATATGAGAAACCCACATCATTTATATATTTATTCTGTCTTGTTTTCACTTTCTCTTTCACCATATATTTTATACTTAAAAGGTTAAATTGTATAAAAATATATTTAACTCATGATAAAAAGTAATTATACTGATTTACTCACGTCCAAGTATAGGCAAAACGGGCGGCGGTGGTGGTGGCGGTAAAATTCCTCGATGATCGACATCAGTAGGCGGAGGTATCGTAGTTAATGGCTATTGAGATACAAATTTGAAGATAATAAATTATACCAACAAAGTGATTTCAATCTTGTTAGGAGGTGCTGGAGTAATTTGTAGGTCAAATAAATTGAAAGCCAAAGAATGTCGTTATACGTAATTTTGATAAAAACAAGGGTTATTGGACCGCCAAACAGTAAAATTAAAAAATTGTCTGGATAAAAACAGATTTGATACAAAGATACTAGTAATTTACTTTCAGTTGGCCGTCGACGACCGTTACTTAATCACGCACACTAACTGTTACCGTCAATAAAGAAATGATAATTGAATTTTAACTCGTCTTAACCTTCTATCAGTTAAAAATAACAAATTTAACAATATAACACAAAATAGAAGCAATAATAGCGACACAAACAGGCATATGTTGGCGTTGCTAACGGTACTCAATAATCCTTAAAGGGACATTCTTTGTCTATAAGTGCCAATTTCCACCAAAATTACTGGATCTACTGAATTGTTTGTTACACATATATCAGTCCGTGACCCAAAAATGAGCGAATAACTGGAATTTGAAACATAGGTAGTCGCTTCTTCGGTGAGGGGAGATTATTAGCAAATAAAAAGTTTTGCAAACTATACCTATTATGTGACATATTCAATGAGTGTTAATAAAATAGTTTTGAAATATCGCACACCTAGATCTAAACTGAGACAACTCAAAAATTTGAGTGAGTTTTGACTTAGTACAATATTCAAATTCTCGGTGATCATACGCATCTATCCAACATAACAGATTCAATAAAGGTTCGAGGATGAGCCGCTAGATAACTTTAGCTTTCTTTTGTTGAATCAACAGTGGTCACGCCCCTGCCACGTAAACAAGTGTATTGTCAGACCTCCAATTTTAGTTTTTTGAGTTGTCTTAGTTTAGATCTAGGTGTGCGATATATAAATAGACGAAAATTAAACATCTATGGACTTTTCATTATATTTAACATTATAATGTTTTAATATGTTAATATTTTAAATTCTAAGACAATGGTATAAATTTTCATTTTATTTCTAATTACATTTCACATCACACTAACGGTCAGTTGCACAAACGTCCATTAAGGTTTAATAACGCTTTAAAGGTCTAATGAAAGTCAAATTTGTATGGGTAATGTCGCTTTAAACTAATGAAATCTTTAATGGACGTTTGTGCAACTAGCTGTATGTATTTTTTTTTTTAGTTTTAAAAGATTAAATGCAATGTGGTCTGTTAATTGACACATTTTGAACACAAGGCAGTTAGAAAGGAAGTGTCGGTCAGTTGCACAAACGTCCGTTAAGGTTTAATGACGACTTTAAACTCTAATGAATGTTAAATTTGTATGGGTAGTGTCGCTTTAAGCTAAAAACAATTTTAGTTACAAATTAATATGAATAAAATCTTTATTAAAAAAAAAACAAAAAAAAATTATCAACCACCTGTTTAGGTGTACCAGAATCTGATTTCACTAAAGAAAAGAAATAAATATAGACTTTCTTATGGTAATATAAAATGTCGACTGTTTACAAATGGCAAGGCAGTGTAAATTGCTATGACATTTCATTTTAATTTTACATGTAGAAATTAATATAATTAATTTAATCACTCGACATTGGCAGAATTGTACGAAACACAGATAAGCCATTAATAAAGAAGAAGTAAATCGATGTGAATATTTATGAAAATATGCACATACCACAACAGGATTATGGACATAAAAAAGACTATAACATAACTACTTACCTGAAGGTTTATAGAATAGGGCGCAGGAGGGAGCACAGAAGGCACAGGGGGCGGTGACTCTGGCGTGTCAGAGAACACGCCCCTCCGCGGCGGAGTGGCCACCGGCGCGGACATAGGCATCGGCGCTGACACAGAAATAGGCACCGGCACAGACACAGGCGCCGGCACTGGCAACGGCACGGGTGCTGGCTACGCGACGGGAAAACGGCACACATTCACACTCGATCGATACAACGAACTTTTATAGCACTAACTCTATTACCGCATCTTGGCCCGCGCAAAGTAAAGCACCCGCGTATGATGTAGCTCTCGTAGGTGAAATAATTGTCATGGTCGGATCAGTATATCCGAAGATCAGCCCTTACAAAGACGTTACAAACTTTACATTTTATTGTAATACCTATGTATTTCTTATAGTTAATCTATACATATATAAAAGGAGATGTCCTGACATACTGACTGACAGACAAGGCACGGCTTTAACCGCTGGTCGTACACTTGAAATTTGGAGGGTATGTTTAAAGAAAGTTGTAAAGAAGCCCAGGAAAATTCCTAATCGGGAAAATATTCAGGATATTTCGTTTAATATAATTTAAAGCATATATTTAATTTAATTTGCCAAAACTGTGTAACAGGAGCCAATCAAAGTATTCATATCACTTGCCGTTAATATTATAATAGTAAGTTTTGAAAAGTCTAAAAAACTCCAGTCTGTAGACTTTAGCTGTCCATGAAAATGCTACCGTTTCAAAAGCAACAAAATCGATTAACTGGATAGAAATTCTGATGGATGTGAATTTTCGGTGTACGAGTATAACGGAAAATGGAATTAAATTATTGGAACCGATCCCTTTTCAATTTGAACCTAACGGAATTCTTACGTAGACTTACATTGACGGTGATACCAAGCTTAATTGATATTAAAATTAATCGATCAATATAAACAAGAAATAGTAGGACGTACAAGAACGTAGTAGATAAGCGCCGCGCCCGCGATCGTTGTCGTTAAGGGTCGGTAAAAAGATGGGTGAGCAAAAACTATTAACCCGAGCTGCTTTGTGCTTCGGGAAGCACGTTAAGCCATCGGTCCCGGCCGCATTGGGCCAGCATGGAAAGTCATGGCCTATCCTCCTTAACCATCCATAAGGAAGGCAGTGGGGATGTAAAAGGGCTGATGTTAATATTATATTTCAGAAATTCACTTTCAAAATACGCTAAAACATTTTTCATATGAAAACAGAGACAGTACATTTTTAAGGTATGCATTTTTTTTACACGACTGCTCAAAAACTGTATTGTTTGTATGTGAGTTTATTTATTCCACCGTAACCTTTGAAAATATAAATAAATAAAAGTATAGTAGGTATCTTTAGAAACCTTACATCATTTACTGGTCACTAAAAGGAATAAAGTAAAATTTAATATTTAAAAAATTTAAAAACATAATTCCCAAAATCAAACTAAAATAAAAGAAACAAGTTGTATTATGGCTTGGCTAAACCCAATTCTCATTGCAGTCGGGGGACCATTCTGTGGAACATTTGTGTTATAAGAGGCCGCCGACTATGATAAGAATTTTGTTTATATTTAAACTTACTGGTGGAATCCACGTCGGGTTGCTCCATGGACTGGCTGTCTCAGGTTGGTAAGGTTCCGGATCCAAGTCTATACGTAATATATATGATTCATTTATGGACTAATTATAAGTATATATATAAGCAAATCAATTAACAATAGTCATTTATTTTATTTGATATTTTTAGTATTTACTTTTATGATTAAACGCTCTTTTATATAAACCTTTCTAATAATGAACAAACATTATTAGTTGAGATATTTTAGAAATTTCTTATACCTAATTATTTTTTTAATAGAGCATACCAATCACATTATCCATAGTGCCGTAGAAGGATGTAGGCGGCGGTGGATTTCCAGTAGAGTCTGGAGTGAGTAGATCTAAACCAGGCAACGTATCTTGCGACTTCTGCGACAGTGTCCCACTAGCCACTACACAAATATATTAAAGTACCAACGATTACTAGCATAGTATATATTACTTAGACATAATAAATTACATAAAATATAATTCATTCCAAAGTGCTAGCATAGAAATGCAGACTTGCTCTAACCCAAAAAAGTCTTCTCTATGTCTTGGAAAAAGATTTTTTTCTCTTTTTGCGAAATATATAATTACGTTATTTGAGCGCTAGATGACCAAAAATTCGACCCGTATAAGCCGTTGGTCCCGGCTGCATTTGCAATCGTTAATACCCTCCAATTCACATTGGGCCAGTGTGGAAGGCCGTGGCCCATCCTCCTTAACCATCCATTAGGAAGGCTTGAGCACCTGCAGTAAAGACGTATAAGGGCTAATGATATAATAATTTTCAATACTTGTCTTTTTTTCTCACACTTAATGTATAATAAAATTTAGGTATACATATTTTTAGTTGTATAATGATTAAAGAACAGTAATTTTACCTAAGTGTGTACTTAATATGACCTCACTGTTCCTTTATTTATGGCTATATATTAATCGTAATAACTAAACTCACCTGAAATATTATCAGGTGCATTAGCACTGTTTTCATTTGGTATTAATGTCTTCAGAAAATCATTAATATTAAAGTCCTGTTTTTCATTTGGTCTGCTATTGATTACCTCTATTTTGTTACCTAAAACAATAATTATAATATACTTTATTGCACACAACAGAGAACAAGTAATTACACAGCATGAGAAAAACAGAATAAAAAGCAGCCTTATTGCTAGTTACTGGTTACTTAGCAATATCTTCAAGGTTATGGAGGAAAATAGATATAAAGAATACTAAAAGAAGTTAAATAGGAATATATTTTTAATAATAAATGAATATCTTATAAGTGAATTTCTGATTTTCCAGTTAGTCACTTTCAATGGGTAAATATTTGTTTATTTAACTAGGCATTATTACTTGATGATAATTAGCCAAAAATTGGCTGCCAAATTAATAACTTTACCATTAATAAATTAAGGTTTAAAATATATGTATTAGCTTACCATTATTGCTGTGATTGTCACCAGAGTCGTTAAAGATTGATAAAGCATTATCATTGTTCAAGAACGATGACAATCCCATATTGTAAAGTGTGCCGTCGGCCGCCATGGACGTGTTGAAAGTTCGATCGATATTGTAAGATACTGGCAAAAGATACGTTTTTGGTTAGTGAATAAATTCAAATTTGAGAGTAGAATACATTGGCAGTTTGCGTGCAAAAACGCTGACGGAAGTCTTTCTACTGAGAAAAACAGTTAGTCATCACTATATCCTGCAGTAATTCAAAATATTTTTACTTTTGCAGTTCCAATAACGAATAAGTTCATGTACCAAGACATCGCAAGATAGCTGAGGCGATGTCTCGCTTATAAATTCAGAGGCAGTAGCGATGCAAGAACAACACTTCCTTTTTTATTAAATAATTCTGCCAGTTGCATATGCGTAGTCATTACACGGTTGGGATTATCACATCATATGTTAATTTTGCAAAGAAAGCAGAATATTATTGTTTAATAGGGACCTAGTGTAAGGGGTCCAACCAACCAAAAAAAAAATATATATAAACCCCAATTCCTCTCCTGCACGTGGTATACTCTGCTGATAAACAAACAGATGGCGGTATAACGATCTAAAATGCTGAGTCGAATCTCCTGACTGATGGCGGGCAGCAGCGTCATCGGTGCGAGACTCAGCTCTGCGCTCACCAACCCTGCCGCCTGCCCAGCAGTAGGGCATAAACCCCCCACATGAAAAGGCAACCAAGAACACGGCCCCTAGTTCCCGGCCGCCCCGCTATTCCACGCCACGGCAGCGGCATCGATTACGGTGGGGTAGGGGGTACTAAGAATCTCCAGGCTATGGATCGCTGCCAAAATTGGACATTGGCTACGTATATCGGACGCAGTTTGCGACGGGACGAAAGCTTAATCGAACTCGAGGAGGAATTGAAAATCGTCAATTAGCACGTTCTAGGGTTGTCCGAAGTCCGAAGATAGGGAGAGGACACGATAACCCTGAAATCTGGTGACATTTTCTACTTCCGAGAGGGAGATAACTATCCCAGGGTGGCGTTGGCTTTCTTGTCAACAAAGTTCTCTGCGATAACGTGTTGGACATTTCCAGTGTGCCGACTAAGATAGCGTAACTATTACTTAAACTAACTGAGAGATACGCCTTTAACATTGTACAGGTTAAGGGCGTACTTCTCAGTTAAAATCGACCAAATCGACACACTTGGACGAAGGGATGATGACTGGGTAAAAAAAATGCAATTCTATTTAGTCCGTCAGTCAGATAATAGAAAAATATTAGATACGTATTTTTTTTTACTTCAATTTAACAAGAAATAGTATAGATAACAGGCATTAAAGTTGAGGAGTGGGGGCCCGCTACGTCACAGTTGAGTAGAAAACGTACTCTAACGTGACGTCATGCGAAATTTCAACTCAATGTAACGCCGTAATTTTATGATTACGAAAAAAATAAAAAAATACGTGTTTAATATTTTTTAACACTCTACCTGACGGGCAAACAAACAAAAATTAGTCATCATCCCTATTCACCGTGGACCGTGGACTGTCATGGGAGACTTCAATACCGACATGAGAGTACGACAATATGGAGAATCACATATTGGACCTAGATATGAGCGCTACGCCGGCGCGCCGCCGTCGCTGTAAATTAACGTCAGCGCGCCGTCGTCGAGCAAAATACGCGGCGCACCGTCGCGACATGTACAAACCGGTCTATCGCGCCTCGGCCGCCCGAACCGCGTTTGCGCTGCGCGAACTTAACAATGTTGGCAAAACTAGCAGTAAAACAGCCCCGACTCATGAATAGATCTTCACCATTGTTGCTCCATGAAACGCGAGACCTCATACAGCACGAGAAACCGTTTTGACCCTTTAGGAACTGGAGTTAAAAACCATTCGTCGTCCTCCGTATTCGCCAGACCTTGCTCCAACGGACTACCATTTTTTTTTCGTGATTTGGACAATTATCTACGCGACAAGAAGTTTTCTTCTCAGGAGGCAGTATAAAATGTTTTCACACAGTTTGTGCAGTTTAGATCTTCAGAGTTCTAACGAAAAGGCATAAATGACCTTCCTATTAGATGTCAGCAAATCATAGTTTATAATGGTAACTATTAATGGTGAAGGCTTACTCTAAAGGTATAACCACAAGTAATCTTCTTAGACATTTGAAAGAAGCACATGGCGTAGAAGATGCACAAAAGTAACAGCCTTTGAACATTTCACAGTTTTTTTTTTTTTCACCAAAGACTCCAAAAACCGGTAGCAGTTTTAAGAAGAGCAATAACTGATGTCTTTCTCGAGATTTGGCTCGTTGGTTTGCTAGATCTTTGATTCCATTTGACACTGGAAAATGATGCTGAAGTGTGTGTAATAAGCACACACGTAAATGTTAATGCATAGATAGCATACTAAACTGAACTTGTGTTATTTCTCACTGTTTACGTACATAAGTAACTCACGTTATGCTTATTCTGTTAAAATTATGTACAATGTTAATTTCAATTGATGTGCGCACTCAATAAACCTCCGTCATACAAGCAACACGTTTTTTATTTAATACAACAAGAAACCAAAGTATTGGATGGCGACCCGGCCAGTTCCTGCACAAACACCTTGGAAAAATTTTTTTTAGAAGATGGGAAAAAGCTACTCGAAAGAGGAAGTTGTAATTGCCCAAAACGCCAACGGAGCAGCTGAAGCCACTACCAGCCAGAAACATGGATCCGTCAACGCATCGGAGATTCTGCTGATCGTACTCGTCGTTATTGCGTCATCGAGCATTTTTTACATCATTTTCAAGAAGTGTCGAAAAAGCGCTATAAAGACATTAAGAAGAGAACTTAACGCCGTCACCGTAAGCACCATATCTCGTCAAGATTTGACTACATCGGCAGTGTAAACAGCAGCCCAGTATCCAAAGGATCGGTGTCCAGGGTATAGCCCGGCCCAGCAGGTTTCCAGAGGATCGGTGTCCAGGGTATAGCCCGGCCCAGCAGCCACGTGACCCGCAGCCCCAACCAGAGCATCGCTACCGACAACGTGCCACGCGTAAGATGACACCGCGATCACCGTGGGAACCCAAGCGCAGCGTATTCGAATATCAACATAACGGCGCCATATCCTTTTAAAATAATTTTAAATATTAGATTATAATTATTTGTGTGTTTTAGAGTAATCTTTTCGCCATGGTAGTGTTAATTATGGTTAAGAACTTATTCTTATTATTTTTTATTCACATACATAACTTGCTATGACTTTGTCGGACTTAAACAAAATATTTAATGAATTAAAAGACATTAAGAGCTATTTAGTAAAAATTGGTCCCATCAGAAGGGAAAGCTCTGAAACAGCTCAACAAAAATTAAGAGATGCACAGTCCTTATACAGTGAATTAGAGTGTATTTTACGATGCATTAAAGAGAAAATCGATCGTTCAGAAATTAGTTCAGAATCTCTTGCGAATATAAATTCGATTGTTCACGATATTAATATATTTTATAATACGATTATCAGTTTAATGTCCTTGAAACAAGATCAAAGCTCATCCAAAATGGCTTCCAATTGCACATTCGATTTGAAAACTGCACTCGCATTACTCCCTATTATGCACGGATCAGAACAAGTAACTTTACAATTAATTGATGGTATTCAGCTCTATAATTCTATGCTTGATAACAATTCGAAACCCCAATTAATTGAGTTTGTTTTAAAAACTAGATTATCGGCAAGTGCTAAACTCCGACTAAAAACTAGTTACCAAGACGTAAATGCTTTGGTTTCAGATATGCGAAAATTTTTAATTCAAAAAAAGTCTTATATCGCATTACAGTCGCAATTAAATAACTCAAGGCAAGGTCATAGGTCAATAGAAAACTACGGTACAGAATTGGAACAGTTATTCGTAAACCTTACTATCTCTCAAGCTGACGGAGATGATAATAAATATGATGTGCTCCGTCCATTAAATGAAAAATTAGCTATAAAACGATTCGCCGATGGCTTATCTAACAAGCGTTTGAGTACTATTATAGCATCGCGCCAATTTGAGTCTCTTCCAGACGCCATAAGAGCAGCTGTGGACGAACAAACAATGTCTCCCAGCGAAGACAATGTCATGAAAATTAGGCACTTTAATGCCAGTCAAAAACGCTTTTCTAGTAATTACAGGAACATCAATACAAATAAACCTACTTTTTCCAATAATAGGTATAATAATTTTTCAAATAACACCCGAAATAATTACATTAATCCACAAGGTTATGTGAAACCTGTGACGTATTATAATAGATCGGCCCGGGGCCATATGCAGTCAGCGCGCCCGCCTCGTTCAAGGGCAAGACCAACCCATGCTCGTGGGAATAATTTTTCGCGAATTCAGCACGCTCGACATGATTCAAGTCAAGCATGCACTGAGACTGCACCGAATAGTGAGTTTTTTCGTTCCAACAGTGAATGAACGTTTCATTTCTAGCTATAACGTAAGTAGTATAGTAAGTTTATCTATTAGTGACGATATTCATAGTGAAATAAACCTTTTAATAGATAGCGGTGCGAGCTTATGCGTACTGAAGTACGAATGGTTAAGTAAAACTAGATTAGTAAATAATATTCTCTATGATAAGTTAACGATTAAAGGTGTCAGTGGGAAATTGATTTCGGAAGGATTTGTTTATTTAGAATTAAATTTTAATGGGTTAAGTTTAAGGCAAAAATTTTACGTATTTAAAAACCTATCGTGTGCCGCCGATGGAATATTAGGCGAAAATTTTTTTAAGCGTTATAACGCGGTTATCGATTATAAAAATATGAGTTTGCAATTGTCTCACGACGATCGCACAGCATGTATTCATATTCATTTTAAAGACGTGTACACACACGTCATACCAGCACGTTGTGAAATTATTAAATATTTGCCCTGCCAATCGAATGATGATTGCGTTATTTTGGCAGATGAGCTACAGGAAGGAATATTTATAGCAGGAATGGTTGTGAAACCCAATAAGGGTTTAATTCCTGTTAGAATATTAAACACGAAAGATGAGGATATTACTTTAAATTTATCTAAATTAAAGATGCATAGTTTAAATAACTTTGATATTTGTTACTTT